ATTTTTCATATTTGTTTAGACTAAAATACATCTTGGTTACTAAGCTTGATAAATTATAGTGGAATTTCATGGTGTTGATGTAGTAATTTATGATTTTTTAGTTATTCAACTGTCTGTGTGTGTGTGTATAACCTAGAACAAAAATCATATCCTCCACATGCAAAATTTTAAAAGGCTTAACAACCTACGTCAAGCAGTAACCGACTACAAAGGTTGTAACTAGAAGAGATAATTATTTGCTTTACTTCTTTATTTAGCATTCTATATTTTAAGAAAAATAAGTTTAAGAACTTATTTCTAAATAGCAATAATCTATATACGTATATAATGTATAATAATTGTGACTATTATTTTACAAAATACTAGTCTACTAAAACACAGCCAAGACAGGTCACTTTGTAAAGACTAAAGGTCAGTTTTATGTTATTGGATATGGTAACGAAAGTGCACATGTGCTGCATCATTGTAACTTCTATACTGTTAGCCAGGCCTGGCTGAAAAGTCAATATAATAAAAATAATAAATATATGTAAATGTATAATGTTCTGAGATTTAAGCTATTCAGTCTAAACATTTATGTTTTCATGTTATAATGTGTAGTCACTCTAAAACGAAAAAGGCATAACTTATATTTATTTCCTAATTATTTTAACGTGATTATGAGATCGGTCAAATGTACCAAACCCATACAGAGTTTCCTTACTGAAAATAACAGATAAAATATAAAGTTTTTTCTTATGAAACATTTGATAACTATCTGGACATTATAAAGATTTTGCATGTGAAATTTGAAAATTTTCTGATGCATAAAAGTATTTTTAATCTTAAAATGAAAATTACTTTGCATGTTTCATAGGCAACATATGACAAAGAAAAAAAAAAAGGCATGAGAAAAACATTGCATAACAAACCTTAAAACTTAATAAAAAAATTTAATTTTTCGTATGAATGCATTGTAATGTTTACTGATAATTGTCAAATTTTGTTAAGATACGCTTACTAAATTAAAAGTTATAGCATGAAAACTATAACTAGCACAAAATGATTACAAGGTTGGTCCCAGGGACCGAGCCTGTGCTGAAAGAGTTATAATACTTTGCTCTATTGATTATGATGTATTATTATCAAAACCTGCCATTAGAGGTACTTTTTTAGGTACTGCTGAAAACAAGAGCCAAAAATGTAAGATGAAATGTATAAGCCTTAAAATCCAACAAACAACGTGTAAAGAAAGAAAAAATAACTTTATGTTCAACTTCTCAGCATGAAAAAAAAAAAGCTATGCTTTGCACTCTGGCAGCAAACATTTAACTTTGCTACATAAGACAATAATTACATGAAAAAAAGTTTTGAAGTAAAATAAAAATAATTATTTCTTAAACTATAACATATGAAGAAATTACATGATATTCATTTAACATATATAAAAAAATTTTTTAATACATACTGGGGTGGTTAACTGTACATTTTCTGAAAAACTATAAATGTAGTTCAAAATGTTGAGCTTCTGGGACAGTCTTTCTACTTTTGTAAGCTGAAATGAATCAACAAAAACATTATTTTAACAACAACTCTGAAAATGTATCACAAGTTTTAAAATTTTAATTTTGTCACACTGGTAAAATAATTAAGGTAAACAGTGAGAGGTATCTAAGTAATACACTGAAAGAAAAATAGATAAACTGATTTAGTGGATGGGATGTAAAGGGAAAATTAAGTTGCTACCACTAAGACTGAAAAAGAATAAAATTACTATATTGTTTTTTTTTTACTCATGTATAAATACAGAAGAACTTTCAAAATAATGCATATTATAAATAATGTTATGACAAGTGAAGTTTAATTTTGATATTTTGGATAATTTGAGCCATAAAAAAACAACAACAAAAATTTACTGCTTATATGATATTTGTATTATAGTTGAGAATGAATAATACTTTGAACGTAATTTTAGATCGACAAAGGTCATCTCAAGTAGCAAGACAATGCAAAACATTTAAATCTAAAAAACTAAACAGAATTCACTTACTTGGAGTAAATAAAATAATTTTCATAACTTCACACTTTCTTTAAATTAATTAAGAATTAATATATAAAACTGGCCTTATTGATTTTGTAATGTTTAAATCCTCATTTGTTTGACAGTCTACAAGAATTTATCTACAGAAAACAAGACAAATGAGTATTCAATTAGGAAATATGCTAAAACTCTCCTGGTGAAACAAAGTAGAGAATGACCACAAATACACAGATAGAATTGTTTTTTAATAAAGAGTTTTTATAAAGAAGGACATAAAATAAACTTAACATACTGAGCACACAGCTTCCATCATGGCACAACAATTTAGAATGTTAATTAAGAAAAAAAAACAAAAAGTACTACTGAATCTAACAAAACCCAACATTAAGTTTATCATCAGCAAACTTATAAGTTCCAGCTCAAAGCCTCCCAAGAAGCAGAACCCCTGACTTATACTATCTTCAAAACTGCTGAGAATGTCAAACACAACCTCTCTACACAAGAATAGATCACCCTGTATTTTCTAATATGAGGAAGCAATATTAAGATTCTCCCTTCAGACAAAGGAGACAAAACAGTTATATAAGACACCAAAGACTACAACCCAAAGATTCAGAAGTTATTAAATATGCCCAGTATAAGAAGATAAACCACAACCCTACAGAAAAGCCAGCAAGATTTTTCAACACAACAACAAACTAAAAGAAGGAACTTAGTCAAGGACAGCACATCCAAAGCTCTAAGAAACAGTGGCAGATGTTCACTCCCTAACTCTGTGGGTTATCAAAAATCCCTCTCACAGCCATAAACCCAACTGCAACCATTTAGTTGGTTTCCTGGTACTTATACTCTCAAGTTCAACACCATAGGGAAAGAAAAGAATAAGTTGCAGATATTCTTTTCTGCTACTCTGTGGGTTGTCAAGAACACCTCTCAAAGCCATAAACCCAACTGCAACCATTTAGCTAGTTTTCTGGTACCTATACTGTTAACACCATGAAGAAAACAAAAAAACTCAATTAACAAATCTAGCAATATTACTCAATAACCAAAAATATACAAGTTGAACCACAGGATACATTATTCACTTTTGATGTGAAATACCTATCTTACACTGTTTCCACAGCAGATACCTTCCAGATAATCAAACAATGGTTGCAAAATGATGATTCCTGTTAACTAGAACTGACAAGAAGACATAAAACTGGCTACAATATGTGTATACATACTGCTTACTTACAATAGAACAACATATTCTATAAACAACTGTGTTCTCCATTTTTTCAGTCCTAAATGGAAGACTACATAAACAAAACATTAATCTTAACATATCATATTCACTGCCACTGGACACACATGTGCATCAAAGGGCACATTAACCAATGCTACCAACGTTTATATGTGCACCAAGAAGAACAATAAAACAAATGCATTTTATTGGAGTTGGCATGTGTTAGAAGTCAGTTCTGCTGTGACAGCACTTGTGCAAGGATCTTCTCTCATTGAAATTTTGGTTGGGTGCAAATGTTTTATCTTATATATATTTTCTGGCTGGTTTTTATAAAATTGATAACAAGATTGCTCCTTCCAAGCTCATGCTAAGAAAGAAGAATTCAAAGCCCCACAGTAACTGATGGTGAAGAATTATCAGATTTATTAGACAAGTTGGAGATTTCATCTTTCTCAGAAAGTGACACTGATAACAATGTACCAAATTCATTAAATATATTGAATGAATGATTAGTTGAAAATGAAGACACCAAGCATAATATTATTGTTGGGAGTAGTGACAGTTGTAGGCCTACTGATGCTGGTATAGCTATGTGGAGTGATGATTCATCAACCAGGACAAAATTACAATTTACTGGAAATCCAGGGTTAAAAGTTGATATTCCAGGTAACAAATATCCATTCAGTTTTTATCTTTATTTGCTAATGAGGATTTTTACAGCCTTTTAGTTATCGAAACAAATGCATATGCTGAGGAATTATTTCTTCATGGAGCCTAAAAAAATTCATGCATTACACAATGAAAGGATATTACTATTGATAAGCTGAAAGTTTTTCTGGGGTTGTTACTATTTCATATGGAATATTCAAATGCCACATTATCAGGATTATTGGGAAACTGATAGCCTATTTAATATGAAATGCTTTTCATCAAACATGAGAAGAAATTGTTTCCTTCTTATAATCAGATGTCTACTCTTTGCCAGAAACCTCAAGCCTGATAATGACCCACCTACAGAGAGGTTTTACAAAATAAAGCCACTGCTTTATATTTTTAATTTAAGAATAGATAACTTATACTATTCATATAAGGAGCTCTCAACTTTATCACCTGACAGAACTCTCTGGTTTGGTTGTGAAGACTCGTGTATACTGTAGTGCACTAGATGATATAGGAGAACAGGGGCATTCTGGGATTGTTGTTCTGCATCCCATGAAAGGCAAACTAAACAGTGGTCATACCCTTTATATGGACACTTTTTATAACAGTTACTTCCTGGCACATAAGCTCCTAGAACTAAATACATACTGCACAGGCATTGATGCAAAATTGAAAACAGGAGAAAGGCAGTGCCAGTATTCTAATGATGTAGCAATAAGCAAGTGGAAAGATAAAAGGGAATTTCTCTTGATATCAACTGAGTTTATGGATGAAATGGTAGACATTACAAATAACGAAGGTAAAGTTACAAGCAAATCTAAGGCTACTGCACAATACAACAAATATGTCAAATGATTTTGTGTTATCCATGTGAATGGAAAACTGTCCCCTGGTACATGAGGATCAGCATTCATATTGTACAGATGATGATATTCAATGTTTTCTATTTGTTCAGAAAGTATCTGGGTGAAAAACAACTTTTTACGAGTTTTGCCTTTCAATTATATGAAATCTTATATATTCTTCATCCATTGGTAGGTCTACTTGCATTCGTGACCAGAAATCAACAAAAAAAGAATTTCACAAACCATCAAAACTCCCAATATAATGACCAGGGAAAGACTATGTGCAAGTGTTGTTGA